CTGAAGACATCAAATAAGCTAAATTCCGTATCCTGGTTTTTTTGTAGCAGCAGGCCCACATCACTATTTCCTGTAATTGATAAGCCAGTGACAAATCATACCAATTCTTCATAGGCAATACTGGAGGGCAGAGGTCCTAGCATTGAATGCTCTTGAACAATAATACATCTCTCGGGGGAACAAATCAGGACCGTAAAATCTTGAAAGAGTAGTATTCTCACTCTAACTCTGAGAGAAACTTTCTAACTACCATCTGTCTGGGATTACCATTTAACATGGCACAAGCAAGACATTTAGTTCAAGTTCTGGTTCTGCCACTTAGTTCTCATGGAAATTTAGCCAAGATATGGAATCTTTTAGAACTGTGGGTGCTTCATCTACATAATGAAGATAAAATTAAACAGAACTGAAGTAAGAATTTGATACCAGGTATATAAAGCCACTTGCACAGCACATTACAATAAAATGGCCACTTCTACTGTTTTACTTTCAGGTACTTCTGAAAATCCATACTGTTCAGGGCTACCAGGAAACTGAGAGTGGAAAGTCAGAACTAAGTGAATGAGACAGAATACCTGCTGGGGAATTAAAATGTTCAGTTTGAGAACTTCCAGCAGGTGGGCAATGATGGCAAAATCAGGTATCAGAAAGGCATATTCAAAATTTACCTATTTTTTTTTATCTCCCCTGGAGGTGCTCAGGACTTACTCTTGGCTCTGTGCTCAGAGACTGTTCCTGGCTGTTTCTCAAGGAACCAACTGTGGTGCTAGGAATTCAGCCGGAGCTGGCTGCATGCAAGGCAAGTGCCTTAACTCCCGTGCTATCCATGTGGCCCTGGATTTATATTTAAGTAATGTTAAATCAGGCTGGGGGGCCTGGCATGCAGCAGACACTGATTTGATCTTTGCTGCATGAGCACTAAACCAGGAGTAATCCCTAAGCAACAATGTACGTAGCTCCAACTTTCCCTTCCCTGTACTAAACCACTAAAATAATTAAAATGCTATTTTAGGGTGTGTGTGTGTGTGTGCACGTGGTGTGTGTGCACGTGGTGTGTGTGTGTGTGTGTGTGAGAGAGAGAGAGAGAGAGAGAGAGAGAGAGAGAGAGAGAGTACCTTAGTGGTTAAGGCATTTGCCTTGCACATAGCTGACCCATGTTTGATCCCCAGTACAGCATATGGTCCCCTTAGCCCCACTAGGAGTGATCCCTGAGCAGAGAACCAGGTGCAGGCCTGGAGCACAGCTTAGAGTGATTTGAAATAGAATAAGAAATGCTATTTTATAGTTGTAGCACTGAAACTACCAAAAAGCGAAAGATCAAAATGTTCTCACTTGTTCTCCTCACTACTCTGAGAAACAAATTTTTTTTCTGAGAAACTCTCTTTCTCAGAGGGCCAGAATACAACATACTAGCTGTGTCATTCTGAACGTTACTGTCGTCCTGAGAATTAAACTAAGTTATTACAGATGACCGGGAATGAGAGCAAGTTTCTGAGCACCCCACCCCCTTCCTCTTGATGTACCATGTATCCCCTATGGCCCAAGTGTCATTTTGCAATAGGGCTCTTTTGAAAGAGAACAGAAATGGGGATCTAAAAGCTTCAAGTCTGTATTCTTATTTGTTATCTGCATGCTACAGACGAGGAACACGAATCTCAGAGAAGTAATTTAACCAGTAAAACAGAGCGAAAGCTACAACAGGTCTCATTTGCTCTCTACCATGCTGTTCCTGTGAAAACAGATGCTTCCATTTCTATAGGATTTGACAGAGTAAATCCTCAATGAATCAAAATTCAATGGGCAAATAAATCTTGTAAGGCAGAGGAGATCTAGGGAGGCTGTTTGAAAAGTTAAGGGCAGGGATATCCTCTGTAAAACTTGTCTTGCCAAATGCTTGGCACAACCAGCGTAGTAAGTATTAGACTGGGAGCTCTGTCAAGACCAGGCCTATGTTTCCAAATTCTTCATGCGTAGATGGTGGAATAAAAGAAAATATTGCCTGCATTGAATCCTCACACAGCATTACAGAACGGTACCTGCAGATGAGACTGTTTAGAGAGAAACCAAATCTGTGTAAATTTCTAGCCTTTATTCCTCGAGGATCATGGCTGAATTAAAAATATCCAGCCTGTCTTGCACAGACCACTGTGCGCGTGGCCCTGTGCTCAGAGCACACACAGTCAGACTTCATGCAAACAGCAATCCCAACATGGATGCTGAAAAAGCTCTTGAGGTGAACAGAAAAAAAATCAATGCTGAGAGAAAGGCCATTTGGTGACAGCCACTGTGGCTCAACAGATTGGATTAAATCTTTCCAGAGTTCTAGCTGCGTTTACGTGAGCCTAACGCAGGGGCTTGACGCAGCAGGGGCTTCTTCATGACTTACAATCTGCACACACTCGTTGGCACTCACCACAGCACATCTGGAATGGGTTAGACAACTTGAGCTTTGTTTTTGTTTTTTTCAATTCATTGGCCCTGGCCCTTCCCTCTGATGCAAAACTCCTCATGTGCTGCTTCGCCATGAATGAGTCAAGGAGGCAAGTTACCCTGGGGTGGTAAGTAAATTGGGACCATCTTAGAGGATGACCCCCAAATCTGTAAATCCCTTGTTGCTTTGCCTCCTTCTGACGATAGGAATCACACACAAACGCCAAGACCCCATCAAGGCAGGGGCAGCTCGGTTTACTGGAAAGCTTGGCCAGTGCTGACTGCTTCCTTGTTAGGAAATGGCCTTTAGATTGAGGGACATTCCAGCAATTCAAGGACTCGGAGCTTTAAATTAAAACAACATTGATGCCATATCCTCTTTCCAAAGGGCCTCTCCCTTCTGCGAAAGTTAGTATACACACTTAGAGAAATTAAAAATGAAAATGTCTCTGGCAAGACTCCTTCCTTCTTGCCCAGCGCATCCCAGATACAGTCTGCAATGGTAGAAAGCGGAAAATTTCCATGGAACGAAGGTAGAAAAATACTGTTAGGAAGGACTTTGCAAGAACTGTATAATCCTTCTGTTCACCCCACTGCATCGCTACAGAATGTCCGGGGCAGATAGTTAGATGTAAAGATATTACGAAGTTTTGAGCCACTCCTTTGAAGGGTATAACTCAATGGATTAATTGCTATCCTTAAGTTTTAGTTTTCACCTAATGAACACATAGAACTTTCAGAGTCAAGTGAGCAACAGTCAGTGTGAATGAGATACAGTTTTTCTGCTACACATTCCATTTTGCTTGGTGTCTTAATATGGAGGGATCAAAAAGTAGGTGAATAACGTTTATATAACAGGTTTAGTGACTAAAGTGTACATATTTAGTGTATACTACACGTATTTCATTATATCATTCATTGGCCCTTGGTCTCTAATTGAGGATCCAAAATACGTACATGTGGGGTAGGACAGAGAGTACAGCTTGCCTTGCATGTGGTCAACCCAAGTTCAGATCCTTAGCACCTCATCTGGTGCCCTGAGCCGAGTGAGGAGTGATCCTTGAGCGCAGAGCCAGGAGTAAGCCCTGAGTACTGCTGGGTGTGGCCCCTCAAATAAAAAAAAAAACAGCGAAAAATACTGAGTGTGTGTGTGTGTGGTGTGTGTGGTGTGTATGTATGTATGTACATACATGGATTAGCCCCTATAATGTTTATGGTGGAGTATAGTGATCATGTGCTGTATTGACATTTCATTTTCTGTCATTATTACGTAAATAGTACAGTATTTAACATAAACACACAAACACACACACACAACACTCCATATATCATTGTATTGCTTAAAGTCAAAGTTATCTAGTGAGAATTAAAAGTATATGTGACTAAATGCATTGTTTACACATATACTATACCTTTTCATTTGAGGGACTTGAGCATTTGTGGACTGCGGTATCTGTGGGGATTCCAGAACATTCTCCCGGAAACATGGAGGGACAACTAAATGTACACACATTAGTGAAATGAATGTCACAATGAAGCTACTTGACATGTTTTTTTCATTTCACATACCTTTCTTTGAGGTGAGACCCTTAAGATCTATTTTCAGAGAACATCTTCAATCCCAGTGTAGTACTATTAACTAGTTTCTTAACCCTTTCCTGACCATGATCCCCTTCTGAGTTTGTTCCTTCCTGTGGACTCCCATTTATGTTACTTCCATCTCTGCCTTCATGGAGTATCCTGGGGGTCCACAGTGGGACACAGGTCCCCAGCTGAGAAATGCTATTGTTACTTACTCATCTTGCATAACTGAAACTTCTGTACCCTTTGACCAGTATCTTCCCATTTCTGGTCATTCCCACATCCTGGAAACCACCACTCTACTCATATCATCAACTCTGATAAGCCAAATTTCAGTTTTCAACTGCTGGACAAATGTCTTTAGTGAAAGCATATTCTTTCCACTTTATTTTGATAAGCACCTAAATACTGAATGATATCCTCTTTTGTAAAAAATTATTTTAGGACTTGAGAAAAGTTTTATTTCAGTTGTAAATGAGCAAGTACGTTGTATTTTGTTGGTTATCTATCTTGCAGAAAAAGGATATCTTTTGGTATTTTCTCAGTAAATTTACCGGCATAAGTAAACACAAAGTCTATTTCATAGGAGATTAAATATTGCCTTAAAAACAGAAAAAAAAATCTTTGCTGTATAAATATACTCTTATTGTTTGGAACATTAAATATTATTCCCCGAATACTATCACTCGATGACTAGTTTTCCAGAGTACAAAAGAATCAATTCCTTCATTTGGAAAACTCTTTCCCAGTTTGATGATTTCAGGCAGAAGAGCACATTTAGGCAGCCAAATTGCACAGAAAACATGATGGAGAATGCAAGTGAAAAAAAAAATAGGTGGGCAGGCTGGAATGCAGCTCAGTGGTAAGCCTGTGTGTGTGAAGGCTTGGCTTTGATCCCTGGTACAACCAAAAGAGAGCGGGGAAAAGTTCGGGCTTGCAGTAAAAGCTGATCCCACTGATCTTCCTTCCCTTGCATTTAATTATTATACCTGTTGCTTAAGCTGCTGCACCAGCCGATCCTTCTCCCGCTTGAGCGCAGCTACCTCTTCCTGGGTCTTTTTCTTCGAGGAAGAAAGTTCCAGAAGAGCAATGTTAGCGTCCTTTTCACTAATGGCAGCCAAAAGAGCTTCTTGCCTGTACAGAAAGAAAATGTCAAGACTCGTTAAATACTCACACCTAACCTTTGCAGAAACTATTGTTTGTAGGCATTTCATTTTCTTTTTTTGGGGAAAGGGGGCTCCTTACTGATGCAGGGTAGAGTGGGGGGATACCTCCTTAGCAGGTCAGGGTAGTACTTTCAGAGGTGTATACAGTGCCAGGGGTGTAACCTGGGCATCATGCCAGCATGCATGCTCATCCTCTGATCTTGCTCCCTAGTTCCCGTTTTACTCCACTTTGGGGGTGACGAAACAGAAACTTAAAGAGTTATAGTTTGCCCATATTCACACTAGAAAAAACAGTGCAGCTGGGAATCTCATTCAGTTACTCGGACTCTAAATGTCTTACCATGCTCTCAATACAGACATCTTAACTGTGGTTTAAATATAGTTGCAGTTAAACTTGAGAAGTAAACAAAGTCAATGTTTTTTTAGTAAGAATAATGTCACCTGTTCGCTTAGTCAATTTAATAAATTCTTTTGACAATATTCTGTGTCTTCCAGGCAAACTGAGTCATTATTAAAACAAAACATTTTCGCATGTGCAGTGTATAACAAATTGCAAATGTTAGTAAATAGGATTTAGAAATGCAGCTTCCTGTTCCTGGGGCACTTTGAATACGCAGATTATTTTTTTAAAATTTTATTTCATCATGAAAATAAGTTTACAGCCCTGACTTTATTTGGCAGCAATCTACACACTTTAAAACAATGATTTAAAACTTAGAGAATCCTGTAGTTTAGTTACCTATACTTTGGTTCATGTCCAGAGGAGTTAAACATGAGAAATTTACAAAATAATTAGAATGAAGTTGGTGGACAAGGAGCCTCAGAAGCCAAAATTCATTCCTTAACAGCTCATCTTTCGGGACCAGAGTGACAGCACAGCAGGTAGTACGTCTGCCTTGTACAAGGTCGATCTGGGTTCGATCCCAGGCACTCTCAATGGTCCCGAGTCTGCCAGGAGTGATCTCTGAGTGAAGAGCCAGGAGTAAGCCGTGAGCATCACTGGGTGTGACCCCAAAACAAAACCAACCAACCAAGCAAAAATAGTTCACCTTTTGTCAGTCACCTGTCCGTAAGGCATGTTTGATTTACAGAAACTATATACGTCCTCTCTGAGCTTCTGACCTGAAGAAATACTGAATCTGAGAATGCCCTGTTCAGGTTCAACCTTGCCACTATCTTTGGTTAAAATGATTGTGCTTCCATAGGAGTCACGTGGAAGAGGCACAAACTGGAAGAACATCTTTTGATTATTCTGGAGTTTGTTTGTTTGTTTTTTTTTCTAATTCGAGAAGTGGTACATATGGTGATCTCTGAATAAGCAATATAAAAGCACATCAGTTTGCAATACAAAAATAAAGATTTGTTTTGACTTATCTTTTTATTGGGAAGAAATGAAATTTTCCTAGAACCAAGCATAACTTTTCCTGTCTACCTTCTATTTAATTCTAAGAAGTAGCAGATGGTTTATACCACGAGGCTCCAGTCAACACCAAAGGGATAATGATGGTCTAAATATATCCTCTGGCCACTTGAAAAAAAATGTTAAGTGGTGAAATGAGCTAAAAGGTGAAGGAGTTCAAGATGGTCTTACTATGCAGTTTCCGGTGGCTTGCTGTCATCTGTTCTCTTCTGGGAGGCTTAAGACGGACAAAACAGGAATGAGAAATGTGCCTTTCCTATAAAGGTGCTGCATTTCAATACACCAATGGTCAAAATCACAGATAGCAGCAGGCAAGTGATTCGATATGCCAAAACCAGTAATTACAATGGGTCTCATAAAAGAGGTATCACTCTATTCAATTAGACTCAATTATGAGATGTCTGCTGAGTGCAGGCTACAGAGGTGATGGAACTCTGAGTTTAAGAGAAAGCATCATAATTTGAAATAATAAAACAATTTTTTTCTAGGTTGTTGAAACATCTTGACTGGATTCCAAATTCTTTTATAAATGATATACTTGGACAGCCCGTGTAGTACAGTTAATCTCTGAGGTAAAATGTCACATTCCCAAACTGCAATATGATATAACAGGTGACAATTCAGATTCTGAGACATAAAATAAAGAATGTGACACTGAGTTCTGAGTCACTGGAACAACACCTTTTAAATATGATGTAATTTGAAGCCCCTTTCCTTCTAATATACAATGCAAATAGAAATTTTATGTCACTGACAGTATCTAATTTTAGTTGGGCACTGATCTCACTACAGACTATACAGAATAAAGTTCTTTCCCATACCTATGGTCCTTACCCTCTAAAATTACCTGACAGATTAACATACCAGTGCCTTTTCCACTTGAAAAGCTAACTCAGGATACTGGTTTCTATATGTGCATGTTTCTACACAGAGCAAACTGAAGTAAAGAAAACGTTTTGATTATATATTGTACAAATACCATATAAACTCTGGGTATATTATTTTTCAGGCTTGGAAATGGACAGTATTGTGAATGTCTGTCCTTTTGGTAAATTTGGAATAAAACTGGGAGAGAACAGCTTCTTGAAAAATATCTGCAAGATGAGCCAGGAATCTAATAGACAGTAACAGTTATAAATTTGTGGGAATAAGACATTTTTTTTCTAAATTTGATAGAGTAGATCATTTAGTTGAATTTATATAGTTAAAATTTATAGAGATTTTATTATACACAAGGTGGTCTAAAGTAAAAAATAGTGCTTCTCAAACGAAAAGGACTTCAGAAAATAATACAATAATACAGAAAAATAATACAAACTGCAAAACAATCGTATTTTAGTAGACTTATATTCAATAGCTTCTTTAAAAAACACATTTTCTGAAAAAAGTTTTATCATTTATTACAGAAAAACTGAAAGATGCAGAAAACAAAAATACCAGAAACAGTTCTTTTGAAACATCAGAGTCAACGGCTAGAGATCTGGAAATCACCAATTTCAATTTTAATATGCGTATCGTAAAGGCATAACTGATTTGAAGAGCTTAATGACTAAAGGTTATCTGCAAAAAAAGGAGAAACTTGCTGGTGGAACGCATTCTGACTATTTCTCATGAGCCTCTATGGAATAACATAATCACACAGAATCCGAAAGGTAATATACATATGCCACAAGCTCCGAGCTAAGTAAGAACTATAAATGCTCCTTGCCAAAGTACTCCATTTTGAAAAGAAAAATTAGAAAATGTGGATCCAGAACCTTCCAAAGTGATTAGGAGCCCCGCTCGTGCCCAGCATGCTGGAGTACTTGCTTGAGTAGGAGGAAGCAGCAGAAGCCCAGCTCAAAGCCACTGCAGTGGTTTGTTGGCTCCATCACTGGTGCTTTAAACTACCAGGAAAGTTGACCCTGCCCTTTAACCGGCACATTCTAATAGAATCAAGATGTCTTTGAAAAAACTTTTGGATTTGAGCGTCAAGAAATAGGAAAGCTGCTTCCTCTGGGCTCCCCCTCCCCCTTCTGAACAGGGGAGGAGGGACAGGAGGCGACCAGCTAAGGCAAACGGAGCTCCAAATCCCAGTGTCAATCCTGGAATACTTAGAATACTACATTCGTCTTCTCTCACTAGCGGGGGGGGAGGGGGGGAGAAAAAGGAAAAAAAAATTAAAAAATGAGTGTTGAAATGATGGCAGTTAATCTGAAAGTGAGTCCTAAATAAGAGAGTAAGGCAGAAAGGAAGATGAATGAAGGAATGGTATTAAGATTTATTTTCCCATTTCCTATAACTGGGTATTTCAAATAGGACAATTTTATAATTATATTCTAAGAATTCCATAATCCTAAAAGTAGGAAAGAGGTCAGATGTAACTAAGAATAAAGTAACAGAGCTTGGTCAAACCAGTGACCAGAAGTCAGCCCATGGGGGCAGGCCTGAGTCTCTCAGACTTCGTTCCCAAACATTTTACAATCTCCTCTTTAGATCACCTTTATGTAGCTAACCAATTTTCCAGCACCCCATATGGTTTCCTGAGAACCACCAGGAGAAAATTAGTAAAGAGCCAGGAGTAAGCCCTGAGCAGCACTGGGTGTGACCTCCTCCCCCACCTCCAATTGAAAAATCATATTACCAAGTCACAGTCACGGTCCTCCTGCTGTTCATAGATTTGCTCGAGCGGGCCCAGTAACATCTCCATCGTGAGACTTGGTGTTACTGTGTCTGGAATACTGAATACGTCACAGGGAGCTTGCCAGGCTTTGCCGTGCGGGCGAGATACTCTCAGTAGCTTGCCGGGCTCTCCGAGAGGGGCGGAGGAATCGAACCCGGCTCATTAAAATAAAAAAAAAATTATCCAGTTTCCTTCTTCATAAAATATACCTGCATATATTTTTAAATGAAAGTCCTTCAAAAATTTATTTTTGTAAGTTATAAAAACACTTCGGTGAGGCTGTCAAATTGGCTTCACACACTGGTACATTACATATTTAAAATTGTAATAAACTTTCTATTGAACTAAATTTTAGTTTTAAAATTTATTTAGAATTATGATATAGATATTTTCTATTAAACTAAGTTTTAGCTTAAAAATCAGGTCAAGTTGGATTATTAATCAGAATGTTTTGTGAACAGGGAAATAAAAGTATGTATTTATTTTCAGAAGCATACTGTAAATTACCTCTGAGAAAAGAGTCACAAAGATAATTTTGGCAATGCCAGTACAAGGAGTAAAGTGAAAAACTTTCTAGATAAATATTTTGAGATCCAGATGGGTTCTAATTTCCAACATTGTCATTAAAAAAAATTCATTAACAAACCTTGTATTTTTCATGAAGAGATCATGACAACATAACCTCCTTTATATAATGTTTTATCTAGAGTTTCTCTTTTGCTGAATATTTCACCAACATACTTGTGAAGGTAACATATATTCATTTGGTATGACATTATATTCATAATGATCAGAATAAGGTCCACTAAAAATTTACAAGATTCATATTAATTTGTAAAACCATGGCACTATAAAATTTGTTAACTATCAGATTGTATGAATAATG